TTGTCATTTAATCTATCTTTACCTCGCCTAACTACTCTTATAAATAAAGTACTAACTATCAGAATCCCGAAATCTAATGAACATATTGGCAAAACATTGGTAGCAGCTTATGAACTTTAAATATGAGGAAAATCATAAGTGAGTAAGTATTTCATAATGAAAAGAGATATCAGGTGTCTAGCACAGTAAGCATACCCTCCCTGCGCCACACCAGAAATAGTTTCTTAACATTAACATTCATAACCTACTAGTGTTATTATAAGGTCTTGAACCTAGTGTTGTTTCTTTGTATGTACCAACTGGATTTTTTTTTTCAATATCCTTATTGATCATTTTTATACCCCAGTATCTATCTTTGATGTGAATTTTTTATTAGTGAGTCCCAGTTTATACATTGTTGACATGGATTCATTAGAGTATATTTTGAGGTTTCAGATATATATAGTTTTGGTCTGTGGTAGGGGTGGTGCCAGGTGAGTACGGAGCCCTTTAGGCGCAATTTTCCGTACTTTTATAAAATATTTCGTTTAATCGAATAACTTATTTCGTTTATTCCGTAGGTGAGCCCCTCCAGCCCACTGATAATATTCTGTTACAGATTTGACAATATATATATCATAGGAAACTGTTTTATAGAACTGTAGGATATATAACTCCACTGGATATTATTTAAAGGGATTGTAAGGAGATTTTCTAAAGTTTGTGTGTGTATTGCGTTCAATTTTTAATCAGACTTCAATCAGGTTCATGCAATTCCACTAAAACTAAGTGTTTGATTTAATTTTAAATAAAATGTCTGTGGTTCCTGCAATTCCATCAAATCTAAGTGTTAGATGATGTCATTATTTGTAAAATATGCTTTATCACATAAGGCCCTTCGTGATTAGTGACATCATCAAACACTTAGTTTTAATGTAATTGCTGGAACCACAGGCGTCTGATTGAAAATTGGAATGGTGCAAATTGTCTAAAGTGATGCTATCAGTGTCCCCAATAAACAGAGAACCTAAAAAAATCTCCAGAAACCTTTTAATTTGGAGTGATCAAATACTGAATATAATTTTGCTAATATTGATTACCCAAGATGCACTTCATCAATTATGTTCAGGACGTATCAGATTAGTCAAATTTGACGGGAGATATGATGGATGAACGTCATCTAAAATTCATTGATGTAGAATAAGACAGTGTGAAATAACGATGATGTAGTCTGTAATATCTCCAGTGTGAAACGATCAGAGAGTTTTATTATTACATTTTACACTGATATTAAATATTATTACACTGATATTATATATTATTTCATTTTACACTGATATTAAATATTATTACACTTTACACTGATATTAAATATTATTACACTGATATCATATATTATTACATTTTACACTGATATTAAATATTATTACACTTTACACTGATATTAAATATTATTACACTGATATTATTAAATATTATTACATTTTACACTATTGAATATTATTACACTGATATTAAATATTATTACACTGATATTAAATATTATTACATTTTACACTGATATTAAATATTATTACACTGATATTAAATATTATTACATTTTACACTATTAAATATTATTACATTTTACACTGATATTAAATATTATTACACTGATATTAAATATTATTACACTGATATTAAATATTATTACACTTTACACTGATATTAAATATTATTACACTTTACACTGATATTAAAATAGTATTACATTTACACTGATATTAAATATTATTACACTTTACACTGATATTAAATATTATTACATTTTACACTGATATTAAATATTATTACATTTTACACTATTAAATATTATTACATTGATATTAAATATGATTACACTGATATTAAATATTATTACATTTTACACTATTGAATATTATTACACTGATATTAAATATTATTACATTTTACACTGATATTAAATATTATTACACTGATATTAAATATTATTACATTTTACACTGATATTTAATATTATTACACTGATATTAAATATTATTACACTGATATTAAATATTATTACACTGATATTAAATATTATTACACTGATATTAAATATTATTACATTTTACACTGATATTAAATATTATTACATTTTACACTGATATTAAATATTATTACACTGATATTAAATATTATTACAATTTACACTGATATTAAATATTATTACATTTTAGACTGATATTAAATATTATTACATTTTAGACTGATATTAAATATTATTACATTTTAGACTGATATTAAATATTATTACAATTTACACTGATATTAAATATTATTACATTTTACACTGATATTAAATATTGTAACTAACATGGGCCATATTTGTGTAACCTACCTATGTTGTTGGGTTTCTACGGCTTTTCCATGTTGTCAACTGACCATTTTTGAATGGAACAATAAACATAGGCCACAATGTGCTAAAAAGTTGAAACTGAAAAGAAAATACTTTGTCTTCCTCGTTGCACACTGCTTGGAAAGAGTTATATCCCTTAATATAAACATCATTGAATTCCATAAACCAAGAAATCAGGAAAAAACCTAAAATTATGCGTAATAGATGAAAGTTTTGATATAGATTGACTTTAATTCTTTGAACAATTCTTTATATTTGATAAAAATCTGGAATTTATGTTTCTAAATAGAAATAAATCTTTAATATTTATTTTTTATGGCTAGTTTCTGGTGGTAAAAATTATTAAATGTGATGATTCCGTTTGAGAAAAAATGATAAAGATATTTTTAACGATACTTGGTCTGATAAGACACGTCAAAATATATTTATAAAACAATCATCGTTTTGGAATGTCGGGGGAAAACGAGGGAAAAATTATCCCTGGTCATTTGGCGTTGATTAATCAGTCTCTATAGATGATTACAGTAACGAGGCAGACGGGGAAAATTGAATTATAAAATGCTCATATCTAGTACGGGATCACACAGACAAATTATATTGCTATGTTTTCCAAGTTTGTTTTCATACATTGTGGCACTAATTGATATATTTCCATTGGATCACAATCAATTTTTATTAAGCAGAAATATTTATTGAGAGACTGAATGAGTCAAATATTGTTTATTTAGACACTGAATGAGTCAAATATTGTTTATTTAGACACTGAATGAGTCAAATATTGGTCCACCCTGTTCCGATGTAGCTCATATTTGATGACTGCAAGGATTGTAAAGTGGTTTATTAATTTTTGCACCATTTTGATATTCAGTCATACGTCTGTTAGTCTTGTCATTCCATTAAAACTAAGCATTCTTTAACATCATTATAGCAGCAGATAATTATGCCAAAAAATGCAATCAAAGACTTTAATCTTGCCCCACGAATCAACTGCTACTTCAAGTTCAAAATTTGAATATGTAAAGATATACAAAGACTTAAAACAACACAATTGAAGACTTAACGTGTGATCATTGGCCCATTTATAAATATCTTACATGGTTGTTTTTGCTGTTAGAAGTTTGAAACTTAAATAGAACTGAAAATGACTCAAGAATTGACTGCATTATGAATCAATATGAGAATATCCAACTTTAAAAATGGTTTCCTGATTTTTTAGTGTCAAATTAAGCAAACTATTTGATTAATTGGTGTTTCTAATGAATTATCAAGTATTCCTAATCATATCATTATGCTCTTATTGCATAGAATTTAGAGTTTTAACCAATCATAAATGTCCATGTATGTACGGTTTGGATAAACAAAAAAATACTTTTTGACCTTTCTAAATCGGTCACTCATTGGAATTCTGCTGGTAATTCTCTTCTAATTTAGCTAATGATGAATTAATTATGGACATGAGAGACAAACTGGTATTCATATGAGTATTAACATTTTCATTGTCATAAATGAAATAATGGAACCCATCTAAGGGATAAGAAACGTGACAATTCTTAGGATAGAGAAATTGAATACAGTAAAACAGTAATTTATAATTAGACACACAATAGAACTCAGTAGTCAATTGCTCTACCCTAATAAACCTTTTAGAATTCCAATCAAATATGAATACTCCACTCCGCTCTAAGGACAATCTCCTCAAAGTCCTGATTTAATGATTTGTAAGAGTTTGTAAGACCAGCTGGTAGACAATTCATGTGAACCTAAGATATCATTGTAAAATCAATATCAAGAGGTTTGACCAAGTACAAGCTGGTAGACAGGATCCTCATGGACTTAAGTTAACTTGTTATCCTTGTTAAATCTTTGTCAAAAGGTTTGGCCGAGGACAAGCTGCTAGAAATGATCCTTGTGAACCTAAGTTATCCTTGTAAATCAATCCAAAATATTTGGCCAAGGACCAGCTGCTAGAAAGGATCCTTCTGAACCTAAGTTATCCTTGTAAATCAATCAAATATGTTTGGCCAAGGATCAGCTGCTAGAAAGGATCCTTCTGAACCTATATTATCCTTGTTTATCAATCCAAAATATTTGACCAAGGATCAGCTGCTAGAAACGATCCTTCTGAACCTAAGTTATCCTTGTAAATCAATCAAATATGTTTGGCCAAGGATCAGCTGCTAGAAAGGATCCTCTTCTGAACCTATATTATCCTTGTTTATCAATCCAGAATGTTTGGCCAAGGATCAGCTGCTAGAATGGATCCTTCTGAACCTAAGTTATCCTTGTAAATCAATCAAATATGTTTGGCCAAGGATCAGCTGCTAGAAAGGATCCTTCTGAACCTATATTATCCTTGTTTATCAATCCAGAATGTTTGGCCAAGGATCAGCTGCTAGAATGGATCCTTCTGAACCTAAGTTATCCTTGTAAATCAATCAAATATGTTTGGCCAAGGATCAGCTGCTAGAAAGGATCCTTGTGAACCTAAGTTATCCTAATAAATCAATCCAAAATGTTTGGCCAGAGACCAGCTGCTAGAACCAGCTTCTAGAAAGGATTTTTGTGAACCTAAGTTATCCTTGTGTATTACAAATGTTTCTAAATATCCTGTTTTTTTTTTCAGAGCCACCGAAGATAATCGACTACTTATCAAGTGCAGATGTGACAGTACAGGAAGGTGATACTGTAAGTTTAGTATGTAACGTAACTGGTGTGCCCACCCCTACTGTCACATGGTACCGTAAACCCACAGGACTTCGAGAGGAAGGGGACGATGAAAAAGAACGTAAGTAGTGTCTGATTTTAGAAGTGTTCTAAAAGAGTGATCATGCTTTGCCTTAACCTATTAGGAAGCATGCCCTTCTTTATGACCTTGACCAGTTGGTATCAAAAATTGAAGTTCAACTAAGGTTGTAAAAAGAATGCAAGTTGTGTTTGGTTTTAGAAGACGTACCAGGTATGAAGGTCTCAGGTTCCATTAAGGCCAGATATGCCCACTCTTCTGGAGCACGGTTGTGTTTTTAATAGCTTTAATTTTGATGTAGCCACTACAGTTAAGGTCTCACTTGTTTCGCAGTTAAGGTCTCCTCTTGAACATTCATCCCAATAACCTTTTGACCTAACTGGATGACCTTTGCTTTAACCCCTGTAAAAAGAAATCTGTAGGATATTGTTAATCCACTGATCTGTTATCTTACAGGAATAGGAATAGAAGGAGAAGTATTGGTGATACACAATGTAACCAGGTACTGTGATGATCTGTATGAATGTGTTGCCAGTAATGGAGTCCCACCCTCAGTCAACAGACATATTAGAGTCTTAGTTGAATGTAAGTACTATATTTTATATTTTAACATACCACAGTGGATTAGGTCATCCTTCATTAAAAATTTTATAAGAAAAATTGGAAGTACCCTGTAACACATTTTTTCAATAGTTCAAAATTGAAAAATGCCATGAGTTGCTAAAATTGAGTTGTATCACGGAAAATTAGAATATTTTTTTTTCAAGATAAATATTCCCTTTAACTAATGTCTAACATCTTATCAAGTTTCTAATGTTGATTAATGTAAATGGAACACATTTTAGCATTTTCACTTTGATAAGTGCTCAGTGAGCCGCGGTGGCTCAGTGAGTTAGACGCTTGCTTGCTAACCCAAATGTCCAGGGTTCAATCCCGGCATAGGTCGAGATAATACCTTCAGATTTTTCAACCCGGTTTCCCCCTGTCAGTAATGCAGGTACGAGGGGCTGACATGTAAAAAGCGCCTAGTCGTTTGGATGGGACAATAAACCGAGGCCCGTGTGCTACAGGCTGTGCACGTTAAAGATCCCTCGACATTGGAAATAGAAAAAGAGCAGGGTAATGCCGCTGTCCTTGCAAAATTTCCCTCTTTGCACCCTGCATGGCGTTGCTGTCTTCATTAGCCCACTTGGTGCAGAAAAGTAGGACGTAAAAATCCATTCAGTTGATGAGTGCTCAGGGTAATTGAAATTTAGTTGTCTCCATTAAAAAAGCTGAAGATTAGAAGACCATATACCTTTAAGTTTGTCATTACGTTTAAAACTTGTTTTCCGTCATCTTAAATTTCCTCAAATTAATTCTGTCCTAACTGTGGATTGAATTTTGAAATCTGATCGTCCCGTGGTAGTCATAGAATTAAATCTTGTAAGTTGTCATGTCAATTTGCGATATTAGAAATATAAACTAAAATAAACAAATTAGGTTCTGAATCTATAAATTAGCTCCTTTATTTCTCCCTTACCTCTCATTTTTATAAATTGTTATGTAGGTTTCCGAGGCCATATTTTATACGTTACTACAGTCATCATGACAATTTTAACATTTAATGAACTTTTATCATGAACTTTCCGTAATCTGATATTCAACTCATAACTGATGAAGATGTACTTATAGTTTGTGTCATACAATTCTGTAACTCAATATTACGCTTTTTACACTGCAGTTTGGTGTAAAGTGATTTGTCAATTTTAATTTTAAAGCAACATTTTTGCCATCAGTTTGATCAATCGTACATTCATCCTAGAAACAAGAATTTTATTGCTTAGCCAATCTGTAATAGTGTTCACAGCTCACTGTTGAAATTTGAGCCTTCAAATCCATGTATGTCCAGAATTATTGGCATGTGAAAGTTTCTTGAGACTATAGAAATAGAAAGTGAAATTTCTAGTTTGAGATATTTTTGAAGGAATTATGCTATTTATGTATATTTCTAGTACTTCTGAAGACTTTTAATGCATTCACCTCAGAACTCTAACCCTGTAGAATGGGAGATAATCTATTATTATTTCTTATCAGACCACAACAAAATTGCTCCACAAAATGATTCTCATTTGATTTAAAGGAGCACCTTCACCATCCATTCGACCAATCATACCTTAGTTTCAGAAACAGGATTTATTTGGTTTACACAATCAGTAATAGTGTTCACAGCTCATCATCAAAATTTGAGTCTTCAAATCAATGTGTATCCATAATTATTCACGTTTGAAAGTTAAAAATCCGAAAACACATTTATAGAAATAGACAGTGAAATTTCTAGTTTGAGGTATATTTAAAGGGATTATGAGATTTTCGTGCGTTTTAGTACTTCTTAAGTCTATTAAAGCACAATAAAGACCCAAATCAATCCCCAAATATGCTGACTGTTCCCTTTAAATAAAACATTGGATTTTGATATAACATGATGTGAATGTATTGTATATATTGTCAGAGAATGAAAAAGAGGTCTGAAATTTTTGCAATAATTTCTTTTCTCCTCAGTTTTAAAGATCAAGATACTTCCATTCTTTCTAAAATTCATTCAAATTCTTAAATATTTGACCAAAGTCAATTTTTTGTGTATTGATCCTGACATCTTATGGTTTATTTTGATGTCAAATGGTACAATAAAATGTACAGATCCATCAACAGTTGAAAATAAAAAGAGAGTAGGCTATTGCTGAAGTCCATGTGAAACTTATTGCAAATTCTAAGGCAACATTTTTCTACTAAATCCAAAACTGGAGTAGAATACAGTTGAGCCTCATTTATCCGTAAATTTCCATTGACGATAAAATCATGCAGTTTAGTGAATTTCTGAATAGTTGAAACATGCCATGCCATAAAAGAGTTGTCTCCCTTCCAATAATAAGTATACAACTTTATCTGGTATTTCTATTTTTCAGTTCCACCAGAGATACGTCTGCCCAATAAGAAAATTGGTCAAGCTCGGGGTAAAGAGACAATATTAGAATGTATAATCTCGGGACATCCCCAGGGGGTGAATATCTGGAGACGGAAGGGCAAGGAAATATCACAGAGTGTAAAGTACAGGATTGAGATATACGATGAAGGGGACAATACTGTGACACTGAGTTTACGAATCCGAGCGATAGATCGTGATGACTATGGTGAATATGAATGTGTCGCTAACAATATACTTGGCGAAGATTCAGAAGTTATGACCTTATATGGTAAGCATCGTCTATATTCTAGTCTGCAATGCTCTTCTGCTTTTTTGACATGGCCGTGGAAAAAATTGCACTGAAAGTACTTAAATGGCCATTTTTGATATTATGAAATGATGAAAAAACAGGAAAAGAAAATTCTAACATATGATTTCTACATGTTTTTTTTCAGAATATCGTAAATATACTCCTCCAACCACAACGTCAACAACAGAAGCCATGACAACCAGATTGAGACATCGTCCTGGTAACAATAATTATATACCAGAACCTAATATACATATACCAAGCGTCAGTAACAACGTACCGCCACGAGCAGAAATTCCACCATATGATTATGATCGGAATAGAGTTAATACTGCTGGATCAGACTTTAGTTATAGACCAGGTGAGCCTAATTGGAGTTGTCTCCCATTACATACTTACAATCAATTCAACTTGGTATTGGTTAGTTTGTAATTTGGTCAACTTCTAGGACCCTCTCCGCTAATTAATTCATTAGCCATATCTTTTCATATTAAATGAGACACTCAATTTTCTATAACTTTTTCCAGAAATCTCATAGAAAACTTTCCAATCATGGAATCATATGATGCATCATGGAACCCTGGCATATCCCAGTACAAAACTCTCTTACACTAAAACTATTATAAGTTTTTTTAAGCATGAGATTGAAATAGTACCAACAAAACAAACATCCATCCAATAATTTTCAACGATTTTTATTTTTAGGTTCCAGTGGCCAAGTATACGATGATAAAAATTCTGCTCAAATCTTAAACATAAACAGTATTTTCATTGGACTAATTTTAACTGTGTCATATTTCTTACAAGCGAGCTGATTGGTTAGATCTTTATTTTGAGTTTGTGTTAATTTTTGATTCCAAAGTACCACAAAAGTATTGTGTATATATCTGAAATGAAATTTCTCAGAAGGAAGAGATTCTTCCAAAATATTCTAACTCAGCTTAGGATGCTTTGGACAATTTGATAGTGCTAATAGTATTGAGTAGTAATTTGTTGGTACGCAGTGTGACTGGATGATTAAAAAGTGTTCTATAAATATTCCCAATAAATAATATGTAGACTCTCTGAAGGGATGTCAAACTGACGAACCCAAATACTAAGTAAACATTATTAGCTCTGTGGACTCTCTGAAATGGATGTCAAACTGACGAACCCAAATACTAAGTAAACATTATTAGCTATGTAGACTCTCTGAAAGGGATGTCAAATTGGCAAACCTAAATAAACATTATTAGCTATAGGTAAAGGGATACTGTGTTAACGAACTGCCCTACACAATATAGCTATGTGGACTCTCTCAAAGGGATAGATCAAAAGGTACATATAGAAGAGGTGTTTTGAAAGGACAAATATTCCATGGACTTTAGATATTATTTTAGATCAAGAACAAATCAGATTAAAATGAACATGTTTGAGTGAAAGATAGACTTGATTGTAATATTTTCAATAGTGCTTCCTTATGTGATCATTTTCAGTTGTCTAGAACTTATCTCTTGCTCAGTGGCAGAACCAAAGAAGTGGTGGGGGCAGGAGAAGCTAAGATATCGAGAATACAGGGCCTGGCCTCCGCCACTGCTCTTGCTGCTGATGCATATTTCAGATACACAATCTTCAACCAAACAGCTTTACTGTAATATACAATCGAAGTTTTCATATGGTCTCATCGAGGTGTCACTGTAATTCCACAGAATATGTAGGATTTTTTAAATACAAAATGTACAATTGTTGTAAATGTAGGATTTGTTAGATTTTGACAGTCGTTTTATTACTGAGTGGTATGATTTAGGCTTATGCCCACTAATATATTGCTGGGGTAACACTTTTTGAGAAGTACTTCCCTTGTGTAAATTTGCCCTCCCCTAACATCAAATCCAGGTTTCCATTGCAGGAAGTATCAACAAGTTCGGGACTAGGTCCTACTAACTGTAAATAGTAAAAAAAAAATATTTATTAGCTTTCATATGTCGTATTATTTTACATCATCTTCTTAATGTCTTTATCAGTTTTCATAATGTTTACTCTATACTGTATATTTCTGAATATAATACGCACCTTTGTATAATGCGCATTTTGTGAAACTATAAAACTTAGTAAATAGTAAATCAGAGGTAGGCCTATAGAAAAACTTTCTGATTCTGAGCCATTTTCATGGTAATTTGACTCGAAAAAATTCCAGTGATCTGATTGGTCACTAAAGAAGATTTTAAAAGAGATTTATTAACCAATCAGATTACTGGATTTTTTAAACATTGTTTTTTAGCACAAAGCTAATGTTTGTATAATATATTTAGGCCACCAGACTATTTATGATAAATGTTAAAGTTTATGGTTATTTATGTTAATTATGTATTAATTGAAGACAATGAACTGATCTTATTTGAGAATCTCAAAGGTAAATAGTCGTCTAAATATTTGCTTTAATTTCCCTTATCACCTTTCTGAATTTAAAGATATCTCGACAGCTGGAAATCGAAAAAAAGTGTAGGCTAATGCCATTGGCCTGGCAAAAATTTCCCTCATTGCACACTGTATGCCGTCTTCATTAGTCTAATTAGGTGCAGAAGAGTAGGACGTAAACTCGGTTCATTTCATTTCATCGCCTTAGAATAAAATCAACTCACAACACAATCTGATAAAACTGGTGAAAATGATTGAAAATCATCACCGAGAAGACTGTGTAAAACACTGTTCATAGAATCGGAGTTTCCCCTACATAAAGATGATTTGAACCAATCACCAAAGCCGTAGCGTAAAGGAAGCATTTGGAGCTAATGCCTCACTTTTGAAATGACAACCAGGTCCTTAGCCAGACTTGATTGTTCGGAGGGGCAAGTAATGTATCTCGAGGGGCAAGTAATATATCAGGAGGGCCAAGTAATATATCCGGAGGGACAATGATGTATGGTGTTTAGTTGCAGTAGTGGAAATGGTCGGTTGTCAAGATATTTTCAGGAGGGCAATCTCCTTGTCCCTGTAGCTAGGGGGCTGACGACAACCAAAATTCAGAAGTGACTTATTTTCAGTTAGGTGTTTCGAATCAATGCAGATGACTATTTGCCCCATGCCCCATATTGGCACAGGACTCAACTTGCTGCATACTATAGACTGAAATATTCATCTACCAGTCAGTGTACAGAACTAATGCACAAATATTTAGACGACTATACACCTTTTAAATATAGTATCAATCAATGATCACCGTGTATATATAATTAATAATTTGTTGAATTGTTTATTTTTCAATCTCATTATATTATCTAGTCATCCTTGGTGTAAAAATTGTTAAGTTTTCGTTTTAATCAGCTTTATACAGCAACTGATACTATGTTTCAACGCTTTAACAAAATTGACTATGCTACTAAAGTTCCAACGGTCTACAATTTTAGGTTAGAGTAGCATTTGGCAATCCTCGGCAGTTCTCGCAAAGCTGAATCTGTAAGTTACAGAGCGCTAGCGTAAATTTCACGATAGACCGTATGGTTAAGGTTACAAGTTACTATTAAACAGAAGGCACTGGCATAAGGTTAAAACAGTGTTCACTAATTTTAGAGGTGTTTGTAAGTAACAAGTTACCATTCAACAGATTGAAGAGAAGGCACATGATTAACATGAACAGGTCCTCCCGACGAAGAAACATGTTACCATGGAATTTTCTATTGCCAATCAGTATTTCCAATGATATCCTGTTTCTGATATCTAGCCGTTGTCGCAGAAAGCTGATGTTTATTGTGTAAAAAGTTTATGTTTTTGTTTTGTAAATATGAAAGTTATAATTGTGAATTATACGACAATAAAGATTTATAATTATACACCATTGGCGACATCTTGTCTTACAGTATGTTTCATGGTCGACATCATGAGCCTTAAATCCAGATTTCAATATATGAAGTAATTTTATTGGATAAATTAAATTTAAAATCTATTTTAGTGATTGAAGTATCAGATGACTGGAAGACTAAAATCATCTTTTTTCAAGGACAAGATCCCGTATAGGAAGCCAGCAACTTTTGTTTAGACAAAATTTTATATTGAGACAGATTGGCAGAAATCAAAATGAAGGTTTTCGTCCTACGACAACACAATGCATTAATGAGGGCTTTTGCCATGATACTTAGCCCACTGTTTTACGATTTCCAACTGTCGATGGATCTTTAACGTGCACAGCCTGTAGAAGAGAGGCCCTCGGTATATTGTTCCACCCGAACGACTAGACACTTTCTTATTTTAACCCCTGCATCACTGACAGGGAATAAAGACAGCGAGAATAAAGACAGCGAGAATCACTCAATTTAATTATTAATACACAATGATAAAGCTGTATGATAATAAAATATTAATGACAACATTCTGACATCCTTAGGGATGTAATGCAGGATGAACGATGAAGCTATTTAATAATATAAAATAATAATCGATTTTCGGGTTTTGGCCGCCACAAAACATGGCGGCAATCATGGGGCAATCAGCTACGAGCCTAACTCTAGCTCTTGAAACAATGACCTAAATCTTTCAATAATCACATCTTTAAATTCCAATAAAGTCTCATCACGTGACCAAGGCGGGATCATGTCGACTGCCCAAATGGATCTGTAATGATGCAGTAATGCTGTATCTGCTGGCAACAGACAATAACCGACAGCAGAAAACCTCTTAACTTTATGAATGCTGAGTACGTCAATGCCTTTGGGAGACACAAAATATTTGGACCGGGCGAACATGTCCTGAGCTCTTGCACGTATGGTGGAGTTTAAAAATGTTAAATTCAATTTTGTAACCGTTCCGGTCAAGTTGGCCGTTTCTTGAAAGATCGTCTTTATAAAAGATTTCGTCAATGCTTCCGAATGTGATCCATGTCCTCTCATTATTAGTTTTGATGGCACCAACGGCCAATTGATTTGGAATGTTGGAAAGAAAGCATGTAGGAGATTCCAAGCACTGCAACCATTTTTCTGACGTTTCGAACTTGACTGCAGCATATCTCTCCAATTCTGATGTTTTCTCGGAACAGGAATTTCGTCCAGATCGCCAAAGAAAATGTAGTCCGACGTTTCTCTGTTTCGCAGAAGACAATCATGAAGTGTAGCGAATTGTCCATGATAATGAATAGCTTTGGAACTCACTGGAAGCGTCCAAGGCAGCACTTCCACAATTTTCCGTGTCTTATAAAACTCTATTATCTTCTCAACATCCGGTCCAATTGAAACATTGTAGAAAACGAAATAATCGGCTCCGAATGCTCGGCTCATTTCAATCGATTGTAGAAACAGATTCACGTCGTTCATTGATGAATGTATGGCTGGATAGCAACGCGTTATGGTGGACTTCCGGTTGTTTGGATAAGTTAACAGAACCGGAAGTGACATTGATCCGCCATTAATGGATACTGTTATTGACACTGGTTGAAGGTTATGGTTTGTAGGTGAACACTTTATCAAAGCAGATCGATATCTGAAATTTCACAAGACAAATGTAAGGACGCATTTTAAAGAAAACTTACATTAAATTAAAATTCTCGAACTTTGCCATTAAGAGTAGGCTAATCAGTGGACTTAACAGGTAGCATACCTATCCAGCAGAATCCCTCTTAAATCCATAAAACTAAATAATTATCCATAAACTACAGGTAATTATTGAAAAACGCTTAGATTATTTAAGCTTTTTTTAAAAAAATAATTACTTAATTTTATGGATTCATTCTAAGGGATAGTTTCCTTTTAAAAGGAATTAAAAGGGGTTTTTATAATGTAAAATTGAGTAATCTTCAGTCCTCAGGGTTTAGTCAAGATACTGTATAGATATTATATATGAATATTCAATATATTTTCACTTGACAACATTTTATTATCCCTCTATGGCGGCTATAATCCCCTTTTTTAAAATGAAAATCAGGTCCTATCTTGCAATGGTTGAAGGATAGATACCTTGAAAACCACATTAGCTAGTGGATGAACGATTTTGTGTAATGGACTAGAGCTAAAATATTAAATTTCAAAAGTTATATTAATGCGTTTCTTTTGTAGTTGAGAAAATTAAATAAACAATTCAAGTCGTTGAGAGGCGTTCTGTGGAACAACAACCACTATAGTTATAGAAGTAGTGCTTCAATCAAAAGGTGCTTTGAAACGCAACCAATAACTACTACAAGTTCTTGTCATTTGGTCCGACACATCTGCCTCTATTCCAGCCTCTGATAGATATTTGGACAGTTATTGGGTGAGGGTTACCAGCTATCAGAGGCTGGAATAGAGGCAGATGTTTCGGTCTATAGTCATTCCACCTACTCGAAATTCTAAATAGAATTCTACATATTACCTATAAGAGCTGAAAGCTTAAAACTCATTTGTTTTACTAGTCCAATCATTCTAGTGACCCGCTTTCAGTCCACAAATAACCAACTTAATAAATCTTAATTACTACTCAAGTCCAGCCACTACAGCAAATAGGAAGTGTGATCAACTTGAAGTCCTCAACTAGGGCTTTCAGCAGATATTCGACATTTTGGCCTTAAAGAGCTTAAATCGTAGTTGCTATACACGTCCGACCACTACAGCAAATAGGATGTGAGATCAATTTTAAGTCATCACAGACAGTGAGTAGATTATTGACATTAGTCCGTTCAGAGCTTAAGGTTTAACTCAGAGCTTAAATTTTAGTTGTTATACAAGTCCAGTCACTACAGAAAACTGGATGTGAGTGAGGCTGAAGATTGAACTCAAGAGCTTAAACCACCCAAGTCCTCAAGTGCAGTGAGAAGATATTTGACATATACAGCTGACAACCAGGGGTAACCATTCCCAAAATTAAAAAAGGATTCCACTTAATGACTTTCAGACCGGAAGTGCACTTACCGGAAACCATAATATGGCTCTGGTACCAATTCGCCGATTCCATTCACAATTTCACTTCCGGTTTCAAATTTCACATAACAGCTGACTGGAAATTTTGTCGATGCAATTGATGTCACAGCGATGATTTTAATGGAAGTTAATTTTGATCGTAAATCTTTGACTAAAAACGCTGAATACATGAACAGTTTGTCGTCTGTTCCCACAGAAATAAAATCAGAACTATCGTCTTTATTCTCAGTTTGTTTTGTCCGATTTATAGTGCTTATGTGATCGAAACCTTTATCTGCAGATGATGCGCGGGTGTTGGTGAAGTTGCCGGGATCTATGAAAAATGCACATTCTATTTGATTCCGTCTGTTCGGATTACTTCTGCTAACATTCTTTTGAGTGTCGTCTGTCAAATCGCGGCACATCTTAGTGTCCGTATCGAGATAAAGAATGAAAGTCGAAGATAGAAATGAAAACATGGAAAACACAACAAGGAATAATATCATAAACTTTTTCACCCGTCTTAATTTCCAACGAATTTTCATTCCAAAAGACAGAAGACAAAAGATAAAAATTCGATGCTGTTGACCGCCGGGATTTCCTGCATCAAGATAGACTGGATAATAAAGTTCGTTTTTACAACTGTCCATTTAACCAATTCTCACTCCAAATATTTTATGTTTTATGCTATATTCCGGGTTGATAAAGTACGCCTATAGTTTTCACGAGTACAAGACATTTAAAATATAAATATTGAAGCGATAAAATAGCGCCAGGCAGGGTATTCGTACTCTTCTAGACACCTGATAACACTTGTCATAATGAAATATTTCCGCACTTATGATTGATATACTACCTCATATGAAAAGTTCATCAGCTGCTACCAATGTTTCGCCAATATGTTGTTTGGATTTCGTGTTTCGGTTTGCCATTTCGGATCGTTAGTACTTGACTTATTTATTATACACTATTTCATCTGTCCAAATTTCCAAAGAATTTTCATTCCATTGCGTTAGTTCGCATATCACTAGTCCCTCGATCTATAGACAGATATCACAGCCAGCTTTCACGTTTAAAATTCTTGATCTCAATCGTCCTGATTATACCAATGAAGTCTTGAAATAACGACAAAAAATTCTCTATCAATATCCAATTAAGGTGCAGAAAGTAAGACGTAATAGTTTCCAATGAAGCAATTAGTAAAGTAAGACTAGGGCTGTCGGTAACTTCACTCCATAATCACATTCAGCTGATTAAAGAGAACGAAGACCGTACCAAATTTACCACATGAATCCAATAAATTATGTTTGAATTAGAAACAAGAATGAAATAAATCAGAACTCCATATCTCGATACCAAGTTATACATAATGGTTCAATATATCAAATGTCAATATTTTTAAACGCGTGTCATTGTTAGTAGCCTATTGAAGCTAACCCGAACGTCGAAAAATATTTATTTTAGCTTGAATGAATCTACATGTATTTTCAATTTAGAAATAAAAATATCACATGTCTATATCGCTCTACAATTGATGTATTGAGTACTATTTTAACAGTGGTATTTCTATATCACTCTACAATTGATGTATTGAGCACTATGTTAACAGTGGTATTTCTATATCACTCTACAATTGATGTATTGAGGACTATTTTAACAGTGGTATTTCTATATCACTCTATAATTAATGTATTGAGCACTATTTTAACAGTGGTATTTCTATATTGCTCTACAATTGATGTATTGAGCACTATTTTAACAGTGATATATCTATATCGCTCTACAATTGATGTATTGAGCACTATTATAACAGTGGTATTTTTATATTGCTCTATAATTGATGTATTGAGCACTATTATAACAGAGGCATTTCTATATCACTCTACAATTGATGTATCGAGCACTAATTTAACAATGGTATATCTATATAACTCTACAATTGATGTATTGAGCACTATTTTAACAGTGGTATATCTATATAACTCTACAATTGATGTATTGAGCACTATTTTAACAGTGGTATATCTATATAACTCTACAATTGATGTATTGAGCACTATTTTAACAGTGGTATTTCTATATCACTCTACAATTGTTGTATTGAGCACTATTTTAACAGTGGTATATCTATATCACTCTACAATTGATTATTGAGCACTATTTTAACAGTGATATATCTATATTACTCTACAATTGATGTATTGAACACTATTTTAACAGTGGTATTTCTATATCACTCTACAATTGATGTATTGGGCACTATTTTAACAGTGATATATCTATTTCACTCTACAATTGATGTATTGAGGACTATTTTAACAGTGATATATCTATATTACTCTACAATTGATGTATCTATATCACTCTACAATTGATGTATCGAGCACTATTTTAACAGTGATATATCTATATCACTCTACAATTGATGTATTGAGTACTATTTTAACAGTGATATATCTATATTACTCTACAATTGATGTATTGAGCACTATTTTAACAGTGATATTTCTATATCACTCTATAATTGATGTATTGAGCACTATTTTAACAGTGGTATTTCCATATTGCCATTTTGGTTTTTTACCATTATCCATGTTACTTTTTTTTTTTTTTACCATTATCCATATTACCATTTTGTTTTTTTTACCATTATCCATATTACCATTTTGGTTTTTTTACCATTATCCATGTTACTTTTTTTTATTTTTAACATTATTCATATTACCATTTTGGTTTTTTTACCATTATCCATATTACCATTTTGTTTTTTTTACCATTATCCATGTTACTTTTTTTTATTTTTAACATTATTCATATTACCATTTTGGTTTTTTTACCATTATCCATATTACCATTTTGTTTTTTTTACCATTATCCATGTTACTTTTTTTTTTTTTTACCATTATCCATATTACCATTTTGGTTTTTTACCATTATCCATATTACCATTTTGTTTTTTTTACCATTATCCATATTACCATTTTGGTTTTTTTTGCCATTATCCATATTACCATTTTGTTTTTTTACCATTATCCATATTACCATTTTGGTTTTTTACCATTATCCATATTACCATTTTGGTTTTTTACCATTATCTGTATTACCATTTTGTTTTTTTTTTTTTGCCATTATCCATATTACCATTTTGTTTTTTACCATTATTCATATTACCATGGTGGTTTTTTTTTTTTTGCCATTATCCATATTACCATTTTGTTTTGTTTTTTTTTACCATTATCCATATTACCATTTTGGTTTTTTACCATTATCCATATTACCATTTTGTTTTTTTTACCATTATCCATATTACCATTTTTTTTTTTTTTTTTTCACCATTATCCATATTACCATTTTGGTTTTTTACCATTATCCATATTACCATTTTGTTTTTTTTACCATTATCCATATTACCATTTTGGTTTTTTACCATTATCCATATTACCATTTTGTTTTTTTTACCATTATCCATATTACCATTTTGTTTTGTTTTTTTTTACCATTATCCATATTACCATTTTGTTTTGTTTTTTTTTACCATTATCCATATTACCATTTTGGTTTTTTACCATTATCCATATTACCATTTTTTTTTTTTTTTTTTGCCCT